AACTACCAGTGAAAACAATGAAAATGGGAAAATAAATTGAAATGAAATGATTTCTCTGTGGCTTCTGCTTCTGCTTCTGCTTCGACATTGGTCCTTGGTCCCTAGCCGACTTGAACTGGTCCTCAGGTCCTTTGGCCCTCTGCGTCTCCGTTTGGCATGCTGATCTTTAAAAATTGCTTTGAACTTTTGGCATAAAAAATCGTAGTCACATTAGCCAGGAGCAGAAGCCCCGAGATAAAATTGTTCGCTCAGAGCTGATGGGCAAAGTTCCTTGGGGCTTCGAAGGGGTTTTTCCTGGTCGGGGGATAGTGGTCCAAGTAGAAAACTTTGGCTTACATGCCGTATATAGCAAATGTGTAAACTGTCGAGGCAGCAGCTGTTGTTGTGTGTGTGTGTTGGTGTGTGTTGGCCATAAATTCAATTTCCAAAATGGGGACAAAGCAGAGTCTCGTGTTGCTTGTGTGTGCGAGGTGACTTGATGTCGCGTTTATGTCACTTGCAACTGCAACAAAACTAATAATCGAAGAAATTTCGTTACCTTAAACATCGCAAGCGCGCACACCTGGCGTATGAGCAATTTTCAGTGTAGCACATATTGATTTTCGGTTTGGGTTATGCTTCTATATTTAGGCAATGGGCAGCTGAACAACCGGTCGCTTGCAGCATATTAAGCGCTTGACTCTGGTCAAAATGAATTAATTAAACGTGTTATATACGCTTACCCCATAATTGAGCATTAAACTTTGCTGATAGAATGGTTAAATTAAATCGGCACAGAGTTTGCAGGATTAAATTATTGTGGCTGCTGCCAAAGCTGGGACAAGTGCCCAATGGAGAATGGAAAATAGTAAATGGTGAATGGTAAATGGTAGATGGCAAAAGGCAAATGGCGAGCGGTCCCGGGCTAAGTGGCACAAAAGATGGCAAAATTGCTGCCTTGCACGCATTTGAACTTAGCAAATGGCCGACTCTCCTCGCGACGGGTGTCCTTTCTTGGCTGCTATTCTGCTGTTCTGCTCTGTGGACTCCTTTCCCTTTATTATTTGCAAGATATCATGGCCATAATTTCGTTTGGCTCCAAAATGTTCGGTCGTTCCCAGCACACTTGAGTCGATGCGGACCAGCAATAGTTTTTCCTGCCCCCAGCATCCATGTTTATATCTCTTTTTCAGCACGAATGGATAACACAATAAATATCAACTGGAGTCCAAGGAGAGAAGCTTTAAATATTTACATTTTCGACCAGCAACTGACCAAATAAACTTAAAACTAACTGGATAACTAACTGATAAACAAATACCTAATCCAACTGAGCGGACCAAAACGCGCATATTCCCTAAGCTATAAGAAAATCAATGTGAGACTTGTGCTTGTAAACAAACCAGAGACCAAACAGTATCGATTATACGGTTCTACATAGGGATATTTATATTTAGCCTAACTTTTAAGTGTACATATGACCAGAATGGAATACAAACTTGGTAAAAGCTTTAAACTAGTCAAATAAGTGCGGAAAGAGGCAAAAACCAACTCGAATTTGCTGTCAATTCTCGTGTGTAATGTGTAACTGAACGTGTAAACTGTAGACTGTGCTATAAACATATTCAACCTATTTGTAATAATCAACCATATACAAACACACTAGTGTCGAGAAAAAACATTTAGATCGGGCAAGTTACTGGGACCGCTTTCAGGTAACTGTTAACCAGAAGTTACCAAACCGCAACACATCAACAAACCTTTCCTTCCTGGGAGCTTTCCTTGCTGTGCTTTATGTAGATCTGTCTATCGGTGTTCCTAATGCATTTATGTGATCTGTCTGTGTCCTTGCCTGTGTGTCCAGAGTTCCTAGCACGATATAGCCATCCTGCGAGAGTGCTTATCCATCTGCAAGATGAGCAGCAGCAACTTAGACCAAATGCCCAGTGGCAGCAGCAACGACAACAGTGATAACAATAATAACCACAACTGCAGCCGTTTAACTAGTATTCGTAACTACAAGTTACCTAATTGGTTTCCACATGTAAGTTTTGTTTATCCTTTGATTTTCCCGCTCCCCAGCATCCATTCGGTTTTCGATTCTCACTTTTATTTGCTTCGCAATTTTCACACCGCACCTTCCGTTGCTTTTCATTCATGCCAAATCAAATTAAAATGCTCTTGGGCAACACATGCACAATGACATGAAAGCAATACACGGTAACAAAGTAAGAAACAGAGTCCTTTGTTGGTGCAGAATGTCGGCAAAATACCCTGGAATGGGTCACTACCTTCCGGTGGAACTATAATGGCAAAAACATAGAATGCCCGAAACGGAGACTTTGTAAATTAAATAATGGGAGGCACGTCTGACACAACATTCATACTTTAATTAAGGGAAATATTTGCACAACAACATTTTACATTCGTATGTGTGCTTGCCAAGTTAATTAACTTATTTACGCAACGTAAACCTTCCTTTGAAATTGAAAAGGCACATGATCATGCTAAATTAAGTTGCGTACTAATATTTGCTTAAAATGCGGGACTAGGTGTAAGTCATCCGGAAAACCAATTAAATTTCAGCTTAGCAAGGGGTATTTCTAATTCGAACAGCTTTTTCCACCCCTACTTCTTTGCTCAGACATTGTGCAACTTGGCCAATTCACCTCATCATCATCATCATCATCAAACCAATAGTCATGGTGCACGGTTTCTCGTGGCTTTGGATTTGGATGCATTGTCGTTGATTTTTCCATTATATATTTGTTGAAGACATATGTGTATGTAAATGTTTGTATTGCTTTAAGTTGTGCATGTGCCTTGGTTTTTGCTTTGTGCCCATAGTCCAGACAAACTCTTGTGCGTGGCATAATAAACTCTTGGGAGTACAGAATAAGCCTTGAATGGAGTCTACGCCTTGAGTTTGTTGTAGTCGGCTTGGAGCCAGCGAATTGTGTACAACGTCGACTTGGCCAGAAGAGTAAGAGTCAGCTTTCGGTCAAAGGTAAACACGTTGAGTAAGACGACCCGCTTGGGATGGAGGGCCAACTTCAAGGTGAAGATTGAGAGCTGCAATCGGAGTTCAAAGGGGAAGTTTAGAGAGCTCTAATCAAGAATGAGCTGAGTTGGAAGCAGCTTTATCAATAGAAGATTTTAATTTCAGATCCCCTAAATGTAGAGTAGCCCAAGCGCTCCCATATTTAAATAAAACTGCGAGGGTCTCTTCGGTCTCCTCATGTAGATCGGATGAAACAGATGAATACACAGCAGGGTTATCGAAACAAAAGTAATTTTCATGTAGTATCGGTACTTCAGAAGCGGCCCGCTGGGTCTCCCACAGAAATACTTCTGCTCCATTTGGACAAGTTCACGGTCCAATTTCCGTATGCCCTGCGCCTTCTCCCAGCAGGACTTCCCACAGCAGGCCGTGGTTCCTCCAATCGTAAGGACTTTCACACTCACTCTTATCTTACTAGCGTTGCCAAAGGACATCTGTGCACATAGAGGGCAAGATGTATAACGCAGTACATCTTGAGTTCCAGGAGCGCCTGAACCCATTTGTCTTTGGATCGAAACAGTAAGTGTTTAGTCCATTGAGAGCCGTGAACTTTGTTAGCAAACTGCATAACTGCAAGTTGGTTACACCCATATTGGCAACTGCAACTTGCATTTGTTTTACGTCCTGTTTTATAGGCCTTTGGGCCAGGCCAATTAGGCCAGTATTTATAGTTTGGCCATTCATCACTAGGGGAGCGATAAAAGGGTCATCGGCGTGTTGCCTGTCGGTGTTGAAAAATTGCTGGCACATTATTGGTCATTTGGCAGGACATGGGTAATCAATTACGTGACATCAAAGACATGGTTTATGCAGAAATGTGTTGCTTTTCATATGCACTTGAGCCAAGAGACAAAACGGCAGTCGAATCGGAAATGACCTTTTGCAATGACATACAAAAGATTAAAAGGCAATGGCAGATATGGTTGACGATAAATCAAATACAGAGTGACAGAGCCCGTGAAAGCCCAATAACGCCACTGACAAAGACCTTTTGTGTGGCAAACTATAATAAAAGTATGGATGTAAAAAGGTACTTGGGGCCACTCCTCGGATGCTCCGCCTCCACGAGCTCCACGTTGGGCAATCAATACTGCTTTTTAATGAAGAAATAAAAGCGGAATGTCCACTTGTGCTGTTCGGACAGTGTCGTAAAAGTGGTCTACATTTTTATTACGTATTCCTGCGTTTGGGGCCAAGTCAGTCCGTGCCGAAGACCGTGTAAAGATTGTATCCTGTCTGCCATCAGTCTGTGGGTCCCTCCTTGGCCGTTTCTCATATACAAGTACAAGTGTATCTCCCACTCAGCAGGCTAATGGTATCCAGGACTAAAGGCACGCAACAGCGCCTAAACGCGTACTGAGCTGGAAAATATTCGCTTTTGTGGTTGGGAAAACGTAAGCCATCTAAGCCACCACCGTTCCAAATTTCACCAGCGACAAGTGTTTATTTTGGCATTTTGCCCCTGCAAAAGCCCCTGCCCCGCCCATTTGCTTCTTTTTTAGCCTGGTCAGCGCTTGACAACGCACTCAACCCGATAGGACAGGCTGGCCAACCTCAATCCCTCGCAGAGGGAGAGGCCTTTGTTGGCCTAATGATTATTGCTTTCCCTTCGTTTTTTTTTTTTTTTTTTGGTTCCTGCATTGGTATTGTTCTCCCTTGCAAAAATATCGTATATTGTTCGCATTTTCTCTTCGCTTTTTTACGGCGATATCCCCTGGACGTGAAAATATATTTCGGGGAAGTAAAACAGAAGGCTGTCCGCGAGCTGATAGGGATTTTATGTTATTTAAATGATTTGCTAATTTCGGAGAGCTTAAGGGCTCCGCCGCACTAAAATGCTTCATAAATTATCCTAATTGAGGGTATCTTCTTAAACGAAAGGAAAACAACGAATTACAGGCTTAACGCAAAAGGGCTGTTAGTTATTAGTGGATATTAAATATACATTAAACCAATTTGGATCAGGATTTCAATTTGTTTTACGTTTCTCTTGTAATGATAATAATTTGGTTCACTTTTGAAATATCTTTGTTAACACATCTCTTTAATTTCAAACCGTCTCGTTCTTCGCGTTCGTTTAGGTCTTCTAGTTTCCCTGGTAGATGGCGAAAATTCTCCTGTAGACTGCTCATAATACTCAGTAGTTGTGGTAATTTCTATCTCTGTGGTTGCACAAGTGGTAATGGGTTTTGCAGTTTTTTTCGTTATTAGTTTGGGTTTTGTTGGCGGATTCGTCTTGAGGTATATTATCTTCTTTTTTCCAAAGCAATTGCTATTGCACTCTTTTTTTGAGTATCCATCCATACAATGAAGAGCCTCTACACATTTACCTTTCCTAAGGACCCAGAGTGAGCGCAGAGGTTCGCACATCATTCGAGGCCTTATTAGCACCACAGGCATGGTGCAGTAGTTTACACCTAAAATTTGGGGCTAATGTATAACCGAAAGGCACCAAAAACATGGAAATTACCAGGCTCCTTTTTGAGGGACTGCACAATAGCTAAAAGAGCTTGAAACAAAAGCACACTTGCAGTATTTCCCATAGCTACGTTAACTAACTCAAGAGCAGTCTGTATGCTTTTGTTATGCCTGTAAAATTGCAATTCGTCTAGCTGGTTATAAATTACATATTATCAGCATCCATATAAAATACAATTTAGCCTGCAAAACACATAGTTCGTTTTTCCTTGAAGCATTTGAAACTTAAAGTTATGGCTGGATTTCATTTTAATTACAGTGTCTTGTGTGTAGCTAAATGGGCAGTATAAAACGCCATTAGTACTAATAAGGGCATCACCATAGAAAACGTTCTAATGATGGATGAACAGTCGTTTATGAGGGGAACTTACTTGCGTTTCTTCTTTGTTTATCCCCGTGCCTTACATAACGATTGCCTTGGATTATCGTCATTTTGGAGTGTAATAAATTATTTGGATTACATGTGCAGCTAGCTGGGCTTTAAATATTTGCTGCTTTACATCTGTTTTTAAAGAAAAGCCCATAGGTTATATACATACATGCACCTAGAAAAACTATCTGTGTATTCAGAAGTATCTATGCGTGTAATGGCTATCTTATAGTTGGTATACACAACTATACCTTGGGAGACTCGATATCTTGTATCTACAGATGAGGAGGATGAGACCTCCTTAGCAGTAAGATTTGATTAGTAGTTCACTCCTGAAACTTGCAACGTTGTATAACTTTATGAGGTAGTGCACAACGATTAAAATAGCAGGAAGCAGAAACTCACCATTACTAACTAGCCATGACTAACTCGAGAACGTTAGATATACTTTTATTATGCATCTGAAACTACAACTTCTAAAGCCTTTTACATACATTTCAAATTCAGCGGAGCAATGGCAACTTTCGCTTTTTGCTTGTTCATCCCTTTCCCTGAAATTTAAATGATTTAGCATCATCATTTTGAGGTTTTATAAGTGTTTAGGTGACACTAACTCAGGTGAAAACTCAGAATTTCCAAATAATTTAATTAATTTCTTAAAAGCTCAATGGCTCTTTTGTAATGTAACTAATCAAGAAAGGCTTTATATGAATCATGTTTGAATTTTGCGTTCCTAATATGGCGTTAGAACGTATTTTTTAATATTTGGCAATGCAATTAACCAAATGGAGCGGTCCTCGAGGACCAGCTAATGCTGATGCGGAATGCTCGTCTTTATCCAGCTCATCGCCACCTCCAGCAGTCTCTCATTTTCCGCTGGCTTTTATAATTAAGTTTCGGGTACGCAATCACTTAGAGTGTTTGGAGTATTGGGGCAGACGGCGCGACAATGTATTCAGACCAAAACAAATTTATGCAAATTTCGATTAATTTATTTTTGACACAAGCAAGAGCTACCACTCCTCCAGGCTCGTTAGGGAGGGATTCGCCTGCTAATTGAACGGAAATCTCGGGCTGATGAGAAGAGAATTGGTTCATTGCCGGCAAATATGTATTCGCGAAACCAGCTGATTGCAGCCGATCAATCAATCAATTTGCCAGCAAAACTTTCCCTTGGATTCGTGCATAAGGAATATCAAAGTAATGAGAGCTGCTGCCCTAAGTTCCTTGGAAATCGGGACTTACCCACAGAGCTTCCGCCATTTCCGGTCTCTCCCAAGGACATTGGGTGGCATTTTAGAAGGGACGTGGACATTCCGCCCAGAATGCGGTTCATATTTCAATTTCCGGAATGGAAGGAGCATTTCAGCTTTCAGGCCATTGGTCCTCCGTTTGCAGACAGTTGCCACTTTGTTGCTGCCTTCTGTCAGTTGAGAAGTTTTCCACATTTTTTGTTAAAAATTCCATTTCACTTTAAATTTGATTGATACTGCGGAAGTTGGTTTGCGTCCTCGAGCGTATGGCTCTCTACTTGATTTAGTTTTGCCATTAGTTTGCTTTTGTAATCTCGGGTTTGCTGGGATTAAATGTGCTACTCTTTCTTGTTTGAGTGCTGATTGAATCATTATTATTAATTTCTTTCCTTTGGTTATCCTAAGCCAAATAAATAAGCCACTCTTTTCTGCTTTTAAAAACACCAAGAGCTTGCTTTCTATTGCTGTAATTGTATTTATGATTTTTATTCTAGCTATTATTTATAATGTCTTGTTAATAATTCATAGTTTCTGTAAATACCTTGTTACATGAAGTGCAGAAAGCTCCCTAAAATAAACACAAATACAGAACACTTTTGTTAAAAGAATTCATATATTTTATCTGTAAATTCGTTGTGCTTTTACCATACGCTTCATAATAACTCATGCTTTTGATGCCAATGAACACTGAAATCGACCTGCAAAACAATGCGAAATGCCTAACAAAATTTAATGAAACTATTTGTGAAAAATATGAAAACAATTAAAACTGCCTCAACAAAAATAATCGAAACATTGTGCACCATGACGCCGCGAAATACAACGGAATATCAAACTAACCATTGGAACTGCAATCGAAATTATTTCTGCAATCAACTCGTCATAACATTCGCCATCCACCCACAAAACAAAACAAAACCAAAACCAAAAAAATCAACCAAATTGACCAAATCAACCAAATCAAACAAACCAACCCACCAACCGCAGAATGTCAATGTTCTTCTTTCGATTGCATAACCTGCAGCGCGCCGAGGAAAACAAGCGCAAGAAGCGCGTGGAGCAGCAGCGCCAACAGCAGCGCCAGCGGAGGGGGGCCAAGGTGTTCAAGTGTGTCAGCGACTCCACCGGCCACTTGACCTTGGCCCCCTCGCGCCTCTTCGAGCGCACGCCCATGAGCCCCTCGGACAGTCTGGACGAGATCGCCCTCCAGATCCCCAGGTGAGTGGAGTCGAAGCGTGGCCGCGATGGTTGGATCCTTCGAGCTGTGTTATGTTCAACTTGGGTTTCCCTACACAAGGGAATTTATAAGCAATTTGGTTTACCGAACTTAAAGCGCGTGTGGTGAAAATTTAATATAAAATGCAAATGCAAATACAACGCCTGAACAGTTGGTTGTCATTAAAAGTGACTGAATAATATATCTATAAATGTCTAAGTGCCCTCTCTTTTGTCCTGAGTAAAATGTCAACTTAGCGACTTGATATGAATACCATTCAATGCCTTTTAAAAACGGATCTTTTTAAATCCTGTTTGTAAACGAAAGAAGTTGATTAAGGAACCAATTATTGCAAGTTTATCACTACATTTTGTTTTTAAAAGGTAGCTGCATTAGGTTAAAGAACGTAAAGTGTTGGACTTGACTACACAAAGTAGTGGTAAAATACTGTTTTGAAAAGGATTTCAGGCCTTACCTCAGCCATTCGGTTTTATCTGCTGCTGAGTGACAGCGAAAACGCTCCAGAAACTTGGAGACTCTATGGCTTGTGTGGTTTGCTTCGGTTTGGGTGTAAAAAGGCGAAATGGAACTTTCAAGTCACTATGAAAAGTGTGGTCATGTCAAGAGAGCCTTAGAACGAACACGCAACGTATAAAATAGTCAAAATGCATCTTACTCTTGCCATCTAACACTTTTCTATCCACTATCCAAGTTATTTCTGGGTTGTTAAACTGACAAATTTAACCTAGTGCCTACTAGAAACGCTTTTGGCCAACAGGCAGCCTTTTCTACATTATTCATTCTATTTCAACCAATGGGAACATAGTACCATTCTAAATTTTAAAATTTTAGGTCTACCAAATTTGTAAATTTTATACCCCGATTAGCTAGATTTTTTATACCCTAAGATGCGGATGCTTTGCGACAGACTTTCCGCCCTGACGGCTGGTGCCATGGTCGGCGTTTGGTACGCCCAGAACTTCCCCTGCGAGATTCCCGCGGACGTCCAGGATAAGGGCAAGGACAAGGCCAAGAGCAAGGACAAGGGGAAAGAGAAGGAAAAGGGGAAGGATGGTGGCCAGGACAAGAGCAAGGACAAGGGCAAGGAGAAAGGCAAGGAGTAGGGATAAGAATACAGCTAAATCGTGTGGGAAAAGTTAACCATTTAGACAAAAACGAAACGATACGTATGTGCAAGTCCTCCTAAACGAATTTCTCTTTTAGTTAGTCGTAAACAATCTACTAGGCATGAGCAAAACTCCAACGTAGACGAAGCAATTAGCAAGAAAAGACAAAGTTTGAAGTAAATGACCATTGAAACGGTACGAGAGTTGCTCTGAAAATGCTTTTGAAAGAGCTCTGTTTATATGGTTTTATTAAGACTTGCTCTAAAGCAATTAAATAAATATACGAAATGCGCATTGTATCATCTTAAACGACTATTTTTTTTAATTTTCGGGTGTAAGCGGCAAATTGGGTAAATTCGCATTTACTTTTTTGGTTGTGCCCCCAACTGTTTGGCATTTCGCCCAGGCATGAGTTTGTGCTGCATGCGACAAAAGTTGGCAGCGATTTGAATAAAAGTTGCCCAAGGGACTCACGTAATCCCAGCTAATTAAATTGTCCTTTGAAATCGTTCAGTTAATTAAGTGTGCGCAAAACCCAATAATTTATATTGTGTAGAAAGTGCTTCAAAGCAGGCTGTGAGATTTGGGTTAATGGGCTTTGAAACTTCGTGCCGGCATTTTTCAGTTATCCGTTTTGGCCGCAGCAGTAGACTTCCATGAATCTGGAAAAACTCAAAATTGTGTAAATTTAAATAAAATCATTAGTTGTTCAGAGGACATTCCAGTCTTCCTTTGGTAATCATCAATCTACAAGATGCATTTGATGTGCGAGCGATTGTCTGCCGTTTTTGCGGGCGTCTTAGTGGGTTTGTGGTACGGTAAGACCTTCTCCGAGGAGGAGAAGCCCAAGGAGAAGGGCAAGGACAAGAAGAAGTAGACCTACACTCGCAAATCTAGCAGAAATCAATTCGAGCTTCCTAGGTGCGTATCACTGATGTGCGAAAATGACCAATAATCCGTAAGACAGTGTCCTTGATCTAGTAGGCGAGTCGGAAAATATCAAGCCAGCTTAACGGCAGCCCTGACATAGCTCAGTGTTTATTTGGCTTTCCAACCAGTACATCAGACAGACATTTGACGTGCACAAAATTTATACCGTGTTTGGGTTCTATCCAATATCCAACATCCAACAGCTAGCGACTCCAGTTTCGGTCTAAATTGTGGCAAATCCTGTCGAGCTCTCGCAGCCATGCCCTGTTGTAAGCGTACCGAAGTCCGCAGGGTGTGCCGGCCAATGCCGTCGCTCCTTGCCCGGCTCAACTGTACGCCGTGCAACCGCGTCCTGTTCTTCGTGATCGGGGTGGGACTGGGCGTGCTCTTCGTGCGCAACAAGGACGACAAGTCGGGCGCCAAAAAGAACGAAGGCAAGGCCAAGAAGTAGGACTGATCGATCTGCCATGCCCGGCGATGCTGGCAAACATTCAAGCCTGGCTGGCGTTATCTAGTTTAACTTGGATCCATCACCCATAAAGTACCCCCATCGACTTGCAGCGTTAGCCAGGGATGACAAAATGCCATTCGATAAGTTTGTCCGCCGAAGAATGGAATGGAGAGGAAATTTCTCAGTCGATAAATTTATCTAAAGAGCAATTTGTCAGTCGAACAATTAACTGCCACTTTCTATACGGATTTATTCGATTGATCTATTCTCTATTCCTCAGTTAAAAAAGCTATAAAATTGGTCCTGTAAAAGACTTTTATTGTGGTTCTTTGTCTGGGATAATCATAAGAATTTGGGGGAGCACTATTACTTTGAATTTGATAATTGTGGCATATTTTTATGCCTGATTTGCCTATTTAACTGCCATATTCTAGATTTATACCTCTAATAAAAAGCTATAAGACTGGCGCTATCGTTCCTAATCTGGGATCATTACAATCTTTGGAAGTAACAATTTCCGCATAATTTTCTAAATGTGCGGTGTGGCATACTTTTATTTGTTCATTTAGCAACAGGTTGTTATGCATCTTCACCGTTAAAGAAAATAGCTTATTGCAATAAAAATTTGTAATAATATGCTTCGAGTAATAATCATTATCCAAACATTCGAGCTTAAATCGGTAAACGCAAATGAGTTGCTGAATAATCTTAGATAAATTTACTGATTTTGAGCCCTTGTAGGGGGCAATACATTTGGTGTGTATTCATCATACAATTTGTAATAGCATATCAACGTATTAGAAAGCCTTAATCGGTAAGAACACAGATCACCATAATTTTGCAAAATCATTATCTCATAACCCAAAATGTTAAGTTGAATTTTTGGGGTGTTGTATATTTTCAAGCCTTTTATGGTTATCCAAATTTCGCAAAGCCATTTCTTATCTCCAGTTAAATTTCCAATCCGATCTTGTTATTTGATCTGGAAGTATTAGGGTGGACACTAGATAGTAAATAATGAAGCCTTTCATCAACGCGACCAATTGTCAAGTAGGCCATATAATGCACTTAAAATTTTTGAAGCGTAGAAACGATATGGTTTTGATGATAACTTTTGGGGGAAAGCATCCTGCTCGGCGACATCTCCGTTTTTGGGGGCACATCGCTGTTACTTGCCATCCTTGCCCTCCTTGCCCTTCTCTTTACCCTTCTCCTTGGCCTTGCTCTCCTTCTCCTTTTTCTCCCTCTCTTTCTTCTCTTTCTCCGCCTTATCCTTCTCGGCCTTCTCCTTCTCCTTGAGCTTCTCCTTCAGCTTCTTCTCGCGCTCCTTGGCCTCCTTCTCCTTCTCCTTGGGCGACTTTTTGGCCTCCTCGGCCGCCTTCTTGGCCTCCTTCTTCATTTGGTCCCAGTATAATCCAATGCCCGCCCCGATCATGAAGAACACGAATCGGTTGCACGGAACGCAGTTCAGCTTCTGCCACAAGGTGGGCGGCGGACGACAGGGTGGCGGTGGCGGCGGACAGCATCGCGGGGGCGGGGGGCAGGCGGGCTTGTCGCACATCTTCAATGGATTTCGGATTGGATGTCCGCGCAATCACAGGGTCCCTCTGATAACGTATTAATTTTACGCCAAAAAAAAAATCAGAAAAATGTTGTTAGCCGAATGGGAAATTTGGAACAGTGGGGTCTGTGTTGCTCTTGGATGTGAGTTAAGTATTTGACGTTAATTTCGTACACTACTTTATAAAACCTAGCTCTCACAATGTATGCAGCATAAAGTTACATCAGTATACTCGAAAATAACCGACCAGCATATCGCGTGGACCACGATCCTCATAAAGGGGATCATCTTTTGGGCATCCAATGTTTTTCAAATTCCATTCAGCTGATATGAAAAAAACTCATTAGCTGTCATATTTTTTAATGTCTGCAGTCAACATATTTTTTATTAATGAATCTGTATAACAAAACTAGATTCAAAAGCGGTGTGTAAAATGTATTTTTCTAAAATTAAAAACAAACTCTTTAGTCTCTACTTCATTGACAGTATTGTCGTTTTAGAGAACAAAATCCAAATTAATACATTTTTTCATAAATTACTGATACAGGAAATAATGGATAACTCGTGGTTTATCACATTCATTGTGGGCTGTATAGTGGGGTATTTAATAGGCAAGCACAATTAGAAAAAGGTAAGAGCTGCTATGCGTTTGTGGTAGGCTTTTTCAAACAACTCAATTTTGAATCTTGTTTTATTTAGTTCCAAAACCACTACTTTCGTTTAAAAAAATGGATGTAGATTGGGTAATCACATTTCTAGCTGGTTGTTTGGTGGGATACGTGGTGGCCAAGAACACCTGAGTAAAAGGCAAGAAATCTTTGGGTTAAACAAAGTTCGCCTGAAATCTAATGCCATTCTGAAATTCAAAATCCCGACTGGACTGGATTTTGATTGGGAAGATATCATTTGGTATCGAGCGATACTTCGGAAATAATCAAAAAATCAAAATGACCCACGTTATCTCCTTTGCCTTGGGCGTGATTATTGGAATGATGAGCTGCCGGAAGTGCTGAGCCTAAGCCCCTAAAAGGCAAAGCTAAAATTATGCAATATGAACAATAAATAAAATCGAAACTTTCGTGTTACATTTTTTTTACTACACTGGCAGGAAATTAAAAAGAAAGAGAGTCGCGACTATTACATACCCTTACCCAAGATCTTGAGCATGCAGGAAATGGTTTAGCAAACAGTGAATGGATTTATGGTTGATTTTCTCAATAAGCATTATAATAAACATTAAAAATTAATAATGGTCTTATATTTACTAGTCTGCATGAATACTAATTCATACTTATTCTACTTATATCCAACTAGTTGGCTTTTCTGGTAAAGTCAGCTTATAATTTATTCGTTGCGAACTATTTTGGCCGCTCTAAAAACTAAAATTAAACTAATCGGTGGAAATGGAGTGGATTTTAATCTTTATTATAGGCTGCATTGTGGGATATCTTATATCGCAGAATACATAGGTGACGCCTTAGAAAATTCTTCCAGAAAATGGGGCATAAATTATTAAGGTAAATAAAATGAGATCAAGTAATCTTGGGGTTTTCTTTTATAAAGCTGTGCTTTAAATTAAAGTATTCAGTTTTCAATCGACATTCAGAACGAAGTGTACGTTACGTGTGCTCAAATTTAAGCCAAATTTTCCGTTTACATCTCGGGAATTGGAGTTTTATTAAAAAATATGCAGCGGTTTATAACGTTCGTTGTTGGTGGAATCGTCGGTTTCCTCGTCGCTAAGAATACCCGCGTAAGTCCCAGTAAATTCCATTCATTCTGTTCTGATATTCAAATTCCCTTCTTTAGTAAATACAATCATGGCCTATGTAATATGCTTTGGGATGGGCATGGTTTTTGGCATGTTCGTATGCCGCCGTTGTGAACCCTGAATAAGACGACTCCACGTATCAACTAAAACCTTTGATAGACTCTTAGAAATCAAGATGGCCAGAGCATTCGATTAAAATGGGTTTGGAATAAATAAGTCTGCCACAATCATACTGTTTTGTTGTTTCCTAATTCTATTGGACGCTAATTTTCTCTGTTGCAGGTAATTTATCATTTGATATCGTAAGTAAGCATCTGGCAATTTCTATTTTTACTGTATGGTTTTTAGTAATACGAAAAATTGTTTAAATGTGTTCCCAATATAACACATTTGGAGTTTTCACTTCATAGTCGCTGGGGATTAAAGCCAAGTTGAACGCATTTATGACTTTGTGAACACTTTTTCCACCTTTTCTTTTAATGGCTGAAAAAACAAAGGCAGCGGCAATAAATACATACGTCAGGATCTGAGCTGGGTAAAAGTTTGCCAACTTAAAGGAAAGGAGAAAACTTTCCACTTCCTCAATCTATTGGGGCCACGAAGGTGGGAGTTAGAGCAAACTTTAAGGGCAACCAATTTGCCATTTTGTGTGTGGTGGGAGGCTCGGTATCCCTTTGTCCACCTCCACCTGGCCATTCATTATGATTGATTATTGCGCAAATCCAGGGTTATACATATGTATATGCGTTCTACGTCGTCAGCGGCACAAAACGTTTAACAAATGAGAAGACAGACGACCTCCTGACACACAAATGAACTCGTTCGCCATTTCAATCAGTCTCTGGGCCCCCAGATCGAGCCGCAGCATCCGCATAAATAAATATTTTATGAACTCGGCACCAGCACCCCAGAACCAGATCCATTTCCAGTTCGGTTAGGCTCGAGTGCGTCTCTCTGCATAACTTAGGCCGGAATGTTTGTGGCAAGTCTTATCTGGGTAGCAAACAAAGGTCCCCTTTTCCCACGATTTCCCCCCGGTTTTTCATCTGCGGTTAGGTAATTGGTTAAGGTGGCGCTCACAAGATTGACTCGCCTACCAAATGAAACGGTTGCCTTCCAGAATGATTGATGCCTCTGCCGGGATGTGGGTGCCCTGCCCCCAGCAAACACAGGTTAAATTGCTTAACCGTGCGGCTCGGGATTTGGATTTATAAGCCAGGCCAACAGGTAAGTTCTTCAAGGGCATCCCACCTGTCTTGCAAATTGGGGTAGGGTACCCTTCGTCACTTTCACTGAGTGGTTGGCTCCTTTGTTTGTTATCCTTTCCCAAGGACATTTCTCAGCATTCCTATTGCTAATTTGTCAATAAAAAGTTTTAATTAAATTTTTGGTTCACATGTCGGCACTAATTTATGCAGTTTTCCTGGCTAACAGCGCGAATTTGAATTTCGATTGAGCAGTTCAAAGCTGCTGTTAATGGAAAGCTTTTGCCTTAAACGCTTTCCCCGTTCCCATTGGCGTTGTTGGTCGGATTTTGGGGCGCAGACTCCAGAATGCTGCCCGCGAACTTCTTGATCGACTCGTCGCTAAAAAGCGTAAATTGGTAACTTTGACATTTTGCACTTCAATCCGCGGAAAGGTAAGGATTGAAGAAACAAAAACAAACAGTTGTAGTTTTCTTCGGTATATCTTTATTTTTATTGGTTTCATGCTTTTACATTTCATGTGTAATAATTTCCCTTTATTATATTAAAATAATTTTTATTAATTTTTTACATATTGTATATTGAATTATGTGACATAATTACAATTAAAAGGTTTAATTTTTGTGTTTATTTATGTGATCTTATTACATACAAATGCAAATGCTGAAAGAGAAGAAAATCTCATGCAAATTACAAACAAAAAATCTTTAAAAAATTAAGATTCGTTAAAAAGCACTTATGTTGGTATGAAATGTTAAGTTAACAGTCATTTAACAGCGCTGCTGGTCGCACTGTTAACACAACCGGCCTGCTGTTATCAACATTCAGCGTAACAGTGGTGTGTATCCGGCAGATACTTTTCCGGTTTAGTCTGTTTGGCGCCCTCGCAGCCCACCACTGTGGTGAGTTCCCGCATTTCCGTTTCGCTTTCCGAGCCTGCGCCACTTCCTTTCGCCGAGCAAGGTCCTCGGCAGGACTTCAGTCCTTATCACAGCGCCGAGGCGAGCGTATCTAAAATAGCCGCTCTAACGCTTCAACCGCGAAATATTTTCAAAACAAAACGCTCGAAAACGTTTTTCCTTTCGAAGTTCAAAACGAAGATTGTGCTTAATAGAATTCAATTTAATTTGATTTTCATTTCCATATAAGTGATAACTAGGCAGTGAATCAAAAGAGATTTTCAAATTATTAAAGTATTAATATTCAAATTTTTAAAGCTTCCTCTTCCTTACATTTTTTAAATACTCTTCGCAGTTTTGTGATTGAATCCGAAATCTTGAAATTGATAAATAAGTGAAGAGCAAATCATAATTTATTATTAAAAGATACAAAAAAATCCATAATGATGATAAGAATAAAAGATAAAATTCCATTAATAAATATTCAAGATACCATTCCTGTCATAAACAACATAAAACAACAACAAAGAAAATAATCGAATGCTTTAAACAAAACAAAAATACTCGTTTAAAAAACCCTAAAGCAAATTTCGCTGTTCTAAGCCAGCCACTTTTGTAATTAGCCAAGCTAATGCTCCAACTAATCAGATCCTGGCTGATGGGGATTATGGACTAGTCCTGCTCCTGGCAGACTGCTTTGAATGTCACTGAAAATTTGCGGCAATTTAGCCAGAAGTCTTCCAACAAATTGACTTGACCGGAGAAAGTTTTCGCCAAACTTTCCGCAAGTCGAAAACATTTATGATGACTTGACACGCGCCACATGTTGTGCGCTAAACTAAGTCAAATGGAGAAGATTAATTGGATACCATATTAGCTATCGAAACGGGAGGCGTGGCTGCCACATCAGTCAATGGGCCGAGAAGCCGGAGAAGATGACTTTAATTAGCTGCCTTGGTAGTGTTGACAAGTCGCCGCCTGGCTGGTTTGCCGTGTAATTAAGTTATTCGCATGGATTTCTGCCGTTCTTCGTATTTTACCATTTTATTATTATTAAATGGCTGCTGCGACAACAGGGTGTTAATGGCAGTCCATAAAATGGCGTTTCTGACGCTCTGTGTGTGTGTGTGTGTGTGTGTGAGTGAGTGGTGTGTATCTGTGAGTGGGTGAATTGGTGAGCCTAAGCGGCATCATGATTGTTTTAATGGCTACTTGAAAGGAAATTAACTGACAGCTGCAGATAAACGAAATACCCACTCAACGTGAACCGCACAATCTTAATGCCCCATCGATTCCAGAAACGATTGCAGTCGGGCATGAAAAATGCGTAGCGACTTACGTTTCGCACTTTTCCAAATATTTGCACATTCAAATGTCAAATAAGCTAATTTGGCCCATAATTCCCATTTCGTACCCTCTTCCTGTGAATTTCCATGTATGATAAACAGAAATGGCAACCAATTTGTTCACGAGCAGCAAGAAGAACAAAAAACGCAAATGCAAATTGCTTTTCGGCACGAAGAATATGAAAATTATGAAATATGTGCGACATTTCTATTTGCATACATTTGGCCAAGAAATTTTCAGAAGGTTGGGTGGAATGGCAAAGAGAGAGTAGACAATTGGGAAGGAGGAGGGGAGGGACTGGTAAACAGAAGTCAATTTGGGCCAAAGGTGAAAGTGGTTTTTCATTATAAAGGGACATTAATTGAACATGTATCCCAAGCTCTTCAATAAGCAATTTAATTAACTAAATAAAGTACCTCTTTGGAGTAGATCCACTTTAATTAAACTATAGTAATAGTTAGTTAAAATTATTGAATAAGATTTTATTAACGTCTCTGCTAGCTGGTATAAACTTTGCTTATATTCTGTGGCTTAACTTGTTCAAATACTTTTAATTAAATAATTTCGCGTTTAACGAATTGCTAATGTAGTTCCATGTACTGCTTCACTTCCTTGTTTCTTTACCTATGACTTCATTTCGCAGTAGTTCATCAGGTTAAGCTGCCGGACTTCACCTTTGGCCCCGCTTTGCCTTTATTCCTTTGTCTTGGCCATCAACACACTCACAGTAACAACCACACGTACTGACCACAAAAGAGGGATCAAGTGAAATGTTTAAACGAGGAGTGGAAAAACAACATGCTAAACGCTTGGTAATACGCTTTTGTTTGGCGCAAGAGCCATTAAGCTGGCCAAGTGATAAATTCGTTCTGCCTACTCAAGTTTTTTGCGCCGCTGCTGCTGCACAGAGGGAAAAGTCCTATACTTTGGTGCTATACTTCTTAAAATTGACTTTGGGATGTAAAATTGTTGTATGATTATGTTGAATATGAATAATTAATTACATAAAATTTAGTATTTAATAATGTTCACACTTAAAAAAAATTGTTCCCCTGATATTTTCTCTCTGTGTTGGGCTGCTGGTCTGCGGTGGCCGAGAAAGGGTCGCGTGCGGTTTTGGCCAAGTTCTAAAGAACATTGATTTATGAACGGGATGGCGGTGCAGACATTAGCCTTTCTTTGTGGCAAGGAAGCCTTTGGATTGTTTTGTTGTTTGCTTGTTGCATGTAATGACGTCATTAGAAGCAAATTGCCACCCATTTTGCGGCAATCGATTGCTTCCGCACGATTAAATATGCTAAGCCGCCGAAAGGGGCAAGAAGCAACAGTTTGCCTGCCCGTCTTCATAGCTCCACTTCCCTCCTCGTCCTTTGCTACTCCTTCCACTTTGTTGTCCTTTCTGTTCCGACATGTCGTGCCCCGCTGGTTGACGCCTACTTTTTAAACTGTTGCGCATTTTTGTTGGCCGACAGCCAAGGCGTGCCGCTGTCTACTGCTCCAAGTCCTTTACCCCCGCGCATCCATGTCGTGTCCTTCACCCTGTCTCTTTCGCTTCTCCCGCTTTCGCTTTCCCCGCGCTTTGTTGGCGCGTGCCAACTTTCACTCGAATCGGAAAAGCACACGCAATGGGGAAAAACAGCAACCGCAAAAACTAAAGTAGTGTTCAACAAGTTGTGGACAATAAAGCAAAATCGAAGAGTAACTATAGAGCTAAGAGTAATGTTACTTGTTTTTTTGCTTAGTTCACTTGACAGATTCATGCTGATTTAAGCCCAGCAAAT